TCTAGAATGTCAGTTAGGAAAATGGAGACTGCAGATTCTATTCTGATCATTAAGACCGTCACTCTACAGGAACCAGCTGACTGTAGCGACAGGGCTGATCTGATAGATGTTAAATCTGTGGTAAACGCTGCTTCACCCTCTCTGTGTTTCCAGTTCCTGTTGGAGGTTGCCAGGCAGAAGAACCAGACCCCCCTCCCTCTCATCAAGCCCTACACCGGCCCCCGGCTGCCCCCAGACCGCTACTGTCTGACCGCCCCCAACTACAGACTCAAGTCCATACAGAAGAAGGTGAGACACAACCTCTCGTGGTCATCCTCAGCTTTCACGTTGTCTTTGTTTGTGGTTACCAACAGTTTATTTTCCAGGTGTCGTCGTCTGCCAGCAGGATATCGGTGCCTCGCCTAAGTGTCGGCGCCGTCACCAGCAGGCCGACCACGCCCACGCTCGGTGAGTTTCAGCTTTATCATTATGTGATTTATAAATCCAAGTATTAAAGTACAATCCTGGATGCTGAAAGCGTAGCGCCATTTCCTCCTCAGGGACGCCGTCTGTGCAGTCGGTCACCACTAAAGTCGGGACTCCAGTGTCTTTGACGGGTCAGAGGTTCACTGTGCAGATCCCGCCGCCCTCTCAGACGACGACCACCAAACCCAGTAAGAACAGACCCATTTTATTTTTTGCTTCATGCTTTGATGGAACAAGAGTCAGACGTATGAATACCTGTGAAAAACACTTTAATGTGGAAGAAACCGTTAAAAAGTTCTCCACCAACTCCTGAACACACGGACAAAAATCTGTCCAGATAAACATTTTAATGGCCAAACAGAATCGTGTTTAAATGAACAGTTTACTTATATAAAAACCTCGATGCTCGCTCTGTCCCCATAGCAACGCCATCCACACCCGCTGTCTCCAACGTCCTCATCAACCCATCTCTGATTGGCTCCAAGAACATCCTCATTACGACCAACATGGTGTCACAGAACTCCGGCGGAGAGTCGCTGAAGAGGAAGCATGAAGACGACGACGACTACGACGCTTTATGACGCTGAATGCGATGCCGCCATTGCCACTTTTGTACTGACCTATAAAAAATAATCTCCGTAGAGACTGTAGGAGGCTCCTGACAGTTTGTTTGAGAGGAACACGACGCCTGCTCACAGCGGGACTGAAGCTGGACGGTGGGTTCAAAGCTGCAGGGCGAAGGAAAAGTGAAGTGATGAATAAAATGAATAAAAGATGTGATCACGTCTGTTTGTTGGAACCCAAAATTTACATTTAGAACAAGAAGAGTTTTTAACTTATAAATCTGAAGGTTTCACTTTTGAGTCCTGTAGTGAAAAATGTTCACTTCAGAAAAAAAAATCCCTACAACATTTAAGTCAAACGTTTGTGGGTTTTTTTGTTTTTTTTTATGAAATTGATGAAAACCAATAATTCCACTAATATCCAGCAGTGAGTCGCTCCTCATAGATTCACATGTTAAAACTGACAGACGTATACACAAACTGTTTGATAATTTGATCCTGAACAACTGTACATCAAAGTGGTGATACTTTTTTTTTTTTTTAAATATAATACATTTCTTTATATTATGGTTTAAGTACTTTTTGGTAACGGCATCTGGATGTTTGACAGTATCAGGTTAAGAATGATGGAGGGATTCTTCACTGTGACACAGACACAGTTTGGTGGTTTAATGAGAAACTGCATGTTAAAATAGACCGCATACAATTATATAGTTCTGAAAATGGTTACTTTAGTCAGAAAACATGAGTACACATGTTTAAAAAGCCTTTAAAGGCTCGACCTGAACTATTTTACTCCCCCCTTGATTTATAAAAATGTAATAAAGAGACCAGATTGGGGGGGTTTGTGTTTTCTTACTGGTGTGGAGTTCCACAGGGCTCTATCATGGGCCCTCTACTTTTTGTTCAAACATTGTAGTTGTGACTTTCGTTGTGTTGCTTTAGTTTTTATTGGGTCCTGAATGATATGTTTTAAGATGTTTTATACGGGGGAAATGCAGTAATTCAGTTTGCCATGGACTATTCTGCTTTAATGTATTCTGATGAAAAGTATGTTTTATCAGGGTAAAAAATGATCTTCACCCAGTTCAAGTCACCTTTAGCATAATTTAGCCTTGGAAGAGACACTGAACATTAAAATAATTGAGACTTCTCTGCTGTGAGACCTTATATGCTGGTTTATTTTTTTTCCTTTAAGAGCATGAACGTAAAGTGCAGATTTTCACATGGAAACTTTAGCACTCGGCTGGATTTTGTTTTCATGTCGGGGTATTTTAAATGCACTTATCTGACCAGTAATATTGCTGAAGTGGTATCAGACTAGTTTGGATGTTACTGAGCACCAGTGATGAGAATAACGGCGTTACTTTTTTCAGTAACGAGTAACTAACTAATTACTATTTCTATCGTTACAACGGCGTTACCGTTACTAACTAAGAAAATGCGCGGTCACGTTACTATTTTTCAACAAACAGACGGTTGAAGCTGTCTTCAGCTTACCGCATCTTGTATCAGTTGCACGGAAGTAGCTGTCTATGGCTGTATCCCAATTCAGGGTCTGCAGCCTTAAAGTACGCAGCCTCAAGGATCCTCAAGCGCCGCGTACCGCTAAGGCCGGAAGTGCGAGGCTTGTGAAATGGGCGGTCTAGCCTCCGTTGCGCTGCCCAGGTTGCCTAGCAACCATGATACTAACAGCTGGAAACGTGTCATACAGCTGTGTTTGACAGAAATGAAGGAGACAATCTTTTGTTCATTTGTTTGTTTCTACATGAGCTTTGATCATTCTCTGTGAGATTAAGCTCAGCTATTGAACGGCGTGTATTTGAAAGTAAAGGCTTTAAAACCAAGTTAGTACAAATGCCACTAATGTCACATGACTTTGCCGACATGTGGCCAACAGGAATGTTTTAATGTTCTTCGTTATTAAACATTTGCACATAAATAAGTGACATAATATTCAGTACTTACTTAAAGTTTACTCTTCGGCCGCCCCTCATCCGCCGTTTTTTTCGGCAAAATTATCCACACCCACGCTATGCATTCTGGGATATGTTGGGCCACGAAGTCTACACCGCCACGTCCTTAAAATTCAGGGAAATGAAGGATGCATGTGAGGGCCGCATTTCGAGCAGCCTTCGAATTGGGACAGCCTTTGTCGTGTCGCGGTGATGTAATCGGCCTTAAAAGTGCAGCCTCTAAGGCTGCAGACCCTGAATGGGGATACAGCCTTCAAGACATGTTGAGGAGGCCATTTAGCCATTTCAATCAGCTGTGTTGGATCAAGGACACATCCAAAACCTGCATGACATTGGCCTTCGAGGCCTGGAGTTGGAGACCTGTGTATTAGAGCATAAGAACAAACTTAAACCTCCCGTTATCATTATTGTATTGTATTTAGTTAGCACAAGTTGGAAATGTTTTATTTAAACATCATTTATTTGGACTTTATACAGCCTATGTAAGTAGGCCGGGCGCTACAACTTTAAGCAGGTGTACGCGCTCCCGCGGGCGGCAATCACGATCACTTTCTGGCACAACACCTGGAGCTCAGGGAGTCATGATAAACAACATATACGCGTGTTTTTCCTCAATAGTTTCATGTTTACTGTCTAAGGACAGCGCAGCGAGCACGCTCTGCTTATGAGCAAGAAATAAAAAAACAAAACATAAAACAGCCCGTTTGTGTTGGTGGAAAAATGCACCATGTCGACCAATCAAAAAATGATTTGGCAACATGACATTTGGTTGTTTAGGAAGAGAGAGAGCGAGTTTTGAGATGTGAGAGATTTGTGACGTTTAGCGTGTTTGCAGTGTGTAGTTAATGTGTTGTCTTGTGTAGTTAGTGTGTAGTGTTGTGGATAGTTTTGTGTTGTGTGTCAGAACAATGAGGCGACTGCTGTCTCCAGGTAGAAACAGGAGTGACACACCTGCTGCTGTCAGACCTGCAGGTATCAGGCTGTGATGTTTCCTTTATAGTGGACAGAAATATTGGAGTGGCACAAATAATTGTGGCATCTTATTGAAGAACAGCTGATTGTTCTGTAAATAGTTTGAAATGGTTATAAAAAAGGGTAAAAGGTAAATGGCTGCAAATAACTTTGTTTTTGCAAACTTGTCTATGATTTTAAAATTGACAATTTATATTTGCATTTAAAGTTATGAAATATGATTCATAAACATGTTTGTGGTTGTTACAGTAAAAAATATACTTTTTCTACTCTGATTTTATGTTTTTTGTCTGATTTTAGATCAGTTGTGTTAATACAGTCAAAATGAAAACAACTGTAAATTCAGACACGTGAGTCTGTGCTGAAAAGAACGAGACCAAACAAGGCAAATAAACAGTTTCTAAAGGTGAAATGTGGAGGAAACATCAGACGTAGTTACAAATGGCCGATTCTACCCTGGACCCCAGAGGGTCAAACATTTTTTTAAGTAACGCAATAGTTACTTTTCAAGTAATTAATTACTTTTAGAATCTTGTAAATCAGTCACTAACACAGTTACTTTTTTGAAGTAGTAACTAGTAACTATAATTAATTACTTTTTCAAAGTAACTTGCCCAACACTGCTGAGCATGCGCTTTGAGGCGACTGTTGGCTGGATTAGTTTCCCCGGTCTGAATGTTCGCTTAAATGGCCCTCGAGATAAAACCAGTGTTCGGTCTTCATAAACCCACCATGGTTTTTTCTTCACAGTAAAGCCTGATGCTGGCCAAGTGTTTTTTGTAGTTCCTGTCATCTCTACAGAAAAAAAAATATTCACATTTTAACCCAAGAATGTCATAAATTGTTCCAAACACACTTCCGAGAATGTAACTGCAGCCTGTTTTGTTGTCTTGCTCCACTTTACTTGGTCGAAATCAGAAATGTGACTACCGGGTGTCTATTCAGAGATATAAATGTGATTGTTTGCCAACAAATAGTTCACAGCTTCATCGTCGGAGATTAAAAAAGCGAAGCAGAGCCTGGGTGTCTGTTAGTTCTTTTTACCTTTAATAAAAAGAAAACTAAAATAAAAATCTCAACATAAAAAATACATGGCGAAACAATAGACTCTTAAATGATTATGAGAATAATCATGGTCGCAATGATGATACAGTAGAATAATAAGAAGTCACCATAATAATAATAATAATAATAATCAGAAGCATAATAATCATAGATCTATCTGTTCTGGTGTCCGTCCCACCAGCAGAAATCACTTCCTGTTTTATAGACATTATGGTAAGCATCGCACAGGCCGGGGCGTGGCACTTGTCAAAATATTTTCACACTTAGCAAAGTTACCCCACATATGCACGACAAAATAAGGACAGAATCACAGCTCGTACGATTCACAGCACTGCTTGGAAACAAAATTTCAAACAAAGGAATTCAAATCATGCTCCGAGTCGGCTTCTTCATCTACGTCTCGTTTTAGGGTCGCAGCTGTAACGTTTGACTGAGCTAAGGAGGGAGGGAGGGTGGGAAGGAGGGAAATTTGGCAGTTTTAAAATTGAACAAAACAAAGTTCAAGTTGTGAAACCCCGACAAACAATTTTAGGGAAAAATAAATGTTAACATTCTTCTTCGTCTTCTGAAATAAAACGTCTGCAGTTCTGCGGGGTTTTCGTCCAATGAAAGTGCAGTGCTCGTGTTCATCTGAAATGTTGATCTGTACGGGGATTTGGGGCCAAAAATCATTAACAAAATAACATTAATAATAACGATAATAAAGCCTAGAATAAAAGCAACAGATTTGGAAAGCTGGCGTCTAAAACCTGAAGTCCTTCACATCGTGTCCGAGTTTGGATGGAGGAAAGAAAAGAGATCACTTAAATGGTTTGATGGTCTTCAGAGGGTAAGGCGGGATGTTGGTGAGGTGGATTTAGAACGGAAACACTGGTGCTGATTGGTTCATTTTGGCTGTCATGTTTCTCATGGCACCCTAAAGTTACTTCCTGTAAGTAAATGTGCTTTAAAAACTGTTTAAAAGCTTCCAAAATGAGCTAAAGTTTCAAAAGAACGTGAAGAAGAGCAGCATGGCTGCACTTTGGACCACAAGATGAAGCAGAGAGTCAATGTGCAGCTACTTTTAAGCTGCTCCCTGTCCGACCCACCAGCAGAAATCACTTCCTGTTTTGTAGACATTATGGCAAGCATCACACAGACCGGGTACTCGCCAAAACACCTAAATCCAAACTCTGGACCAGATTTGAAATCGAGGTCCAGCAAAGACTCACAGCACTATCGTGGTACTACACAGCACAGCACTGCCTTTACTTTCAGTTCATTTGTCTTCAACACGACTGCCTTGTGGTCTTTTTATGCATGTTTGTTTTGATGCTTTGGTTCATTTTGGACTATTTTAAACAACTTCAGCTTCTCAGGTTTAAACATTTCCTTTGGCATCAACCTTTAAAAAATAGTTTTATGGTTTCATTTTTAGATCATTATGTTTTGTTTCTAAGAGGAAAAAAAAAAGGTCACATACCAAGAATAAAGGTGTGAAAAACATTTCAAAGTGAATCAATACTGCTCATTACCAGCTCGGCATTTTTATTCTTGGTCTCTATGAGAATCTAGCAAAGCAGCTTTGCGTGATTCAAAGCTCTAAATAATCCTTATCTTGTACTGAGCTCTCACTTCCACTTTAAGACAGCTTTCTTCTGATTGGCTGCCTCTGGTCAGAACATGAGATGGTTTCTGTGTCCTGAGATGATCATAATAGGGACATCTGCTCTGTGTGACATCATACAGACTGTGAGTAGGAAAAACAAAAAAACTGAGCATTTGGCTGCAGGATTACGGATCATTGACCAATTGGTTATCAGAAACTTCAACCATGTTTAATACGAACATTCACAGGAAATAAGTCAAATTTGAACAGGTCAACATTAAAGTGAGTAAGTCTGTTCACTGTCATCAGCATCTTTCAATGTGTCAAACAAAACAATAGTGGGATTTAAGTAATCTGTGTTTGATGGTCTAGAAATAACTGTGAAACTGCCAAATCCCGGACAAACCCCCAAATATTGTATCATCACAGTACAAACTAAACAACAGTAAAGGCCACAGAAATATTTGTTACCAGATTGGAAATAATTCCAGAAAAGAAAATGGTGACAACATTAATTTAAAATGTATCTTTGCAATCTACACAATAAAATAAAGAGAAGCTCTCAAGGATTAGAAATTATAAGAATATGTGGTTGTTTTATTTTATTAAAAAGTTAATATTAATTTTAAAGTTATACTTACTAAGCAAAAATATTTAATGGTTTATCCCCTGAAACTAAAATGTAAGACCTGAACTTAGAGAAAAATAACACCACGCAGTGTTTCTAAACTGACACATCCCAGGTTTGCCCAAACGTTTTAAACCAACAATTTTTCTTTTTAAAAAAGCTGAGTTCTTGTCAGTCACCAAGGTTCATAGATCATCGTGTTGGCAACAGTGAAACCTTAAAGGCACAGCACAGCTTCCTGTGATGACTTAACTCTGAGGTGAAGCTTCATACTAACTTCATCTAAATGCTTGTTCAAAGTGAGTTTGGACCAGTGAGTGAAGACAACAAACCAAACAACGAGCACCAGAGTTTCCCTTCAATGAGCTGACAATGGTGAGTTAAACCGGCCGCACTGAGTCTCAGACCGTTTCTATTTTAACAAGCAACAAGAGAAACAGACTTTAGCATCAGTTTTGTTGACTTTAACTGTAAATCTGGAAGTGAAATAAACAGAAACAGATCAAAGAAAGGTAAAAAACCTATCCAGTGACTCGACCTCCAAATCCAGTCCAAAGTTCAAGGGAAAAAAAAAAAAGATTCCAGTGTGACTAAACTCGAGTGTTCTTTAGTTCCATCAGAGAAAACTAAAACAACCCAGGATATAAATTAAGAATCGTGACTCTCAGTGATCAGGCCTCCTGTACCATCGCAAATTTATATGCTTTGTTTTTAGCTTCAATTTGTTCGCTGTCACATTGTTGCAATTACACGTCTTCATTCTCTTAACAAACAACAGTATTCAGACAAGTACCAGCTTACTGTTGAGCTTTAACAGGATCAAACCAAAATAAAGAGTTAAATTAGCTCCACTTACGGAGAGGGTGGATAAAGTTTTGGTTGTCGTCTTTTCATGTAATTTCTTAAAAAGCAGGATTGCAAAATGATCTCTGGGATCTGAATGAAGTGTCCGCACTGGAATGTTTTTTTTTAATAATTAAAAAAAGCCGACAGGACATGGCGAACGTTTCTGAACATGGACGACAGTTGGAGCAGGAGGAGAGCGGATGCTGGTGAAATCGAACTTCAGTCGCTTGTAAGACTTCTCTGAGTGTGTGTGTTTGTGTGCACATGTATTTCCTCTCGCTGCAGCCACCGCGAGAAAAACTATCTACAGGATTTACTCGAAGGAAAGCGGCGATCACCACCGAACAATTTTTTTTTCCAAATATATATTCTGTTTGTACAGGACGGTGATCGTCGGGAAACATTCAAAAACAAAGCGGACGAACGCTGCTGATTCTTTAGCTTCCTGCTTTCTATCTCAAAGCCCCGCCCACGACAAGCAGCAGAGGTTCCCATCCACAGTGCCAACATCTGTCCTGCAGCTGCTTAACATTTAGAATTTCTAGCAAAAAAGAGAAACGAGAGACAACAGATGGAGAAGACGGCGGAAAAATGGCGAAGGTGGCGTGACGAATGGCTGAAGCAAGAGAGGAAGAACACCACCAAGCCCCTCCGAGGCCTCCGTCCAAATATACCCTCATCCATCCCTGGGGAATGTGAACAGTGTGTGTGTGTGTGTGTGTGTGTGTGTGTGTGCGTGTGTGTGTGTGTGTTGTGGTTTTGAAGCGAGCATATGAAGGGGTTGGCGAGCTCCTAGCAGTCCTCGTCCTTGTCGTCCACAACACCTTTGAGCCGGAGGCGGGCGAAGTCCTCGAAGACGAAGTCGTCGTCCTGCGAGATGCTGCTTGAAGAATGAAAAGGACGAGTTTTATTGTGAAAGGTTCCATACAGCCCTGTTTGAATCCAGCACCAACAGCACGTCACATGTGTGAACTGAGCATCTGTGAAGTTTTCCACCTCACGCCGGGTTTGTGACTCTGCCGCTGCTGCAAACGGCTGCAGATGTGTCTGCTGTCATTTCCTGAAACAGACGGTAGCTCCTAACCCTTCAGCATTAATGATGCGCTCACAGATTCAAGATCCACTCGTCACGTCTCGCAGCTCTCACAGGAGAAACCGTTCACGTCCATGGATTCATTTTACAGACGTTTTTTGTTTCCTTAGGATTTTTAAACTTTCGGGTATTGAACACCGACAGCTGCTCCTTGTAAGGGTCAGTCAGTTCCACGTTATGGCGTGCTGTAGTTCACACATGCTCAGTTTAATCAGTGACGTTATGTTAGTGCTGGTTGCCATGGTTTCTGTTTGTATGTAACATAAAACTCAGCAGAAGTCTGGAAACTCACTTTGTGTCAAACTCTATCAAATTGGTGTCGATGGGCGGGTCAGTTTCTGGCACAGCTGAAACACACACACAAGCATGTCACACTGCCGTTTCCATGGAAACTGATGCTCAGTGCCATGGTGAATCCGCATACGAGGCTGCAGAGACTCACCTGACTGTGGGCGGGACGCCGGCGGCTCCGGAGGTTTAGGATGCATTAAGATGAAGGGCAGCTCCACCGACACGTCCCTGGAAAATAGGAAGCACGGCGTCATTGCAGCAAACCCCGCCTCCTTCCTTTTTCCACCAACAGCTTAAAAATGTCCTGATAAATCTGCCCATTAAATCTGCCCCACAGCTGATAATTAACTCACTTCAGAGCAAACTGACTACTGAGTGACAACAACCACCTAGAAACCCATGTTAACATTAAACACCAGGCTGTGGTTCCCCCACATGAACACTGAGGCTTTCAGTCCCATTTACCTCTCCAATAAGCCTCGCAGCAGCCTGCAGGGAGGGGGGAGGGCACACAGAAGAGGAGGGGGGAGAGGGGGACGGGGCGGAGCCACACAAAACGCCAAAAAACACAGAGAAGGGAGGTGAAATGAAAAGCAGGAGGCGACAGGTTCACAAAAACCTACAGTGGAAGCAAACACAGTGAGGAGCAACGACAGCAACGAGCCAACAGGGTGGAGCAGGAAGCAGGAAGTGGAGGCCGAGCTGCACCTGCAGCTCTTTCTGAATAAAACACCCGAAAAACGAGAAAATCGTCTTTAAACCAACCGTGAAAAAAAATGAAGAGATGCTCAATTTAGCACCACCGCCAGCCGCCCTCAGTAAATATCGCAAGTCATGTGACTTTAAAGTCCAATGGCGAGACAGACAGTAGATAAAGGACTACGGTCCTAGACAGATGCTGAGGGGCTCATTAAGCTCTCACAGGCTTTTATTGTGAAAGGATGACTTTGTAAAGCCTCCCTCAGCTGACTGGAGTCTGAGCTCAAGCTCTGGCCGTATTTAAGCTTCAAACAGATTCACGTGGTTTTTGTACGTCTTTAAGTCAAATATGATCCAGAGACTCGCTTCACACGTGTGGCGTTTCCATGTAAACGTGGACAAACGTCAGACCGTTGCGTAGGAAACGTTCAGGTGCAGCTCGGCCTCAGGAGTGACGTCTGGAAGATAAAAACACCTCCAAACTTCACTGATGACAGCTACAGGAAACAGTGAGCTGGAGAGGACAGGAAGTGATGTCAGCAGAGTGTGTGTGTGTGTTGCTGTACCCTCCACGGGACACCACCAGCTTGACTTTGACTCTGTAGGACACCAGGATCCCCAGGACCTCCTTGTTGGTGACGTCCTTCACACTGAAACACACACGGAGCACTGTGGTCACATGACCATGCAAACACACCTGTGTGTTACACCTGTGTGTGTTTGTGTTTTACATGGTGGATGAGGCCAGGTTGGTGTCTTCATGTTTGAGCTTCCCGTCCAGAGCGAGTCCTCTCTTCTCTCTGTTCTTGTCCAGTGTCGGGGTCAGAGTGTACACCTTGCAGAAGGTGGAGCTGGACGACACCTGGTCGCTGTGGAGACCAGACGCTGCTGTCAGGCAAACCGTTCAGGTAAACCCCGCCCCCCCACCAATCTCATTAAACAGGTGTGAACATCAGTGACCTTTTGTCACTGGTTTTAAACCAGCTCAGATTGGTTAGCCTGGTTAACTCTATCACATTTTCATTCATTAACTTTGGTTTAAACCAGTTTAACCAGCATGCAGGGACAGGGACACTTACTCTGCCTCCAGCTGAGCCACGGGACATTTATACTGGGCAGTGCTGAACAGGCAGATGTCTGCGTACTGACGCACTGCGGAAGACAAACAGAGGAGGTGTGACTGTGATAACAGGACGGCGTGCAGAGAAGCGCAGAAAAAGAGTTGAGAGATGCGTACCGGAGATCTTCACCCTCTTGACCGTCTTGGTGGAGTTGTTGGTGACGTGGACGTTGACGCTGATGGGCTCGCCGTGATAATACAGCTACACACAGAACACCATTATTAGCATAAAAACAAAGGACTGGTTTGTGGGTATCGGGGCTGTTTGCGCACCTCTTTGTCCAGAGATGCCTCCAGGTGCAGGGACCTGTCGGACATCAGGAAGCTGCGGGTGGTCTCCACCATCGGCTGAGGACCAGGCTTCTCCGGAGCGTACTGAACCTTCCTGATCACCAGACGCACCGAGTTCCTGCACACAGCACAGGCTTCAGCACGGTGATTCCTCTAGCGTTCACTGGAGGCTGGCTCACAGTATGACACACAGAAGAGCCTCTCTTGTCCTAAAGTAAACACTGAGTCTGACATTTTACTGCCTCTGGTAGATTACTGTACTGTGAGTCTACAAAATAAAAGCCCCGCACAGAGCCTGCTGGGGTACAGGCTGGCTTTGGACTGCAATGAAACACAGCAAAAGCTTTAAAGTGGACCTTTTATTTCCTGTTCCACTGGTGGGTGTTCATGTTTACACGACCAAAGCTAATCCCCACTCAGTTATTTCTGCTCTGGGTTTGAACTCCACGCAGCTCCTGAGTGAAGCTTCCCGCAGGTCTGAACTCACCTCTTGTGAATCTTCTCTTCCATTGACTTGGCACAGAAAGCTCTGATCTCAAAGTCAACACCACAGGCCTGCAGGAAGAGAGAGAACAGCTCAGCGCCACCGTGTTTATAAAAACGCCTCAACTGTGCTGAGGCGCTGCGAGCGCAGCCCTGCTTTTTCCCGTTTTATAAACACACCGTCTCTCTCTCTCTCCGCTATGAGCGACGCTGGAACAGCTTCAGCTAAAAATCAACGGCGTGTTTATCGGCCTGTCTGAGGCGGTCGTTACGGTAAATCGTAGCCTGTCAGCGACGCTCCTCACAGATAACCGACTCCATCTGACTCCCCGTTTAAAACCAAACATGTCAACGCTGGAAGAAGCTCCTGAACGTCAGGCTGTTAATCAGGAATAAAATAGGTTTCAGGAGCCAAAATGTGTGAGACAGAAAAGGTTTGCACGTCTTCAGGCCTGAAGGACACGCTGCACATCAGAATGCTGCATTTGCAGAAAGAAAAAAGGCAGTGATGGGAACTGTTCCCTCACTAACAGGAAACAAGTTGTTTAGTTGACCGAGCGCTCAGATCCACTGCTCCGCTGTTTCAGGGCCTGATCGGGAAACATCAGCCGACGCAGAAAATCAACAACTAAAAGCCAGGAAGTCTGCAGACGCACGCAAACTCGGCGACGCTTCAGAGTCGAACACGCAGCTGCAGATCAGAGGAGGGTTTGAATATTCATCTTTGTACAAGCTGAAGTAACCTGAGCGGAGGAGAGCTCAGCCTCACACCCGTCTCACATTCAGGTTTTCAATCTCACGACAGTAAAAGGCTGCATCATCATCTCGTGCTGCAGGTGGCTCCACCTGTCAGCTGCAAAGGTTATGCTGCTGTTATAATAATAAGACACATTATTATTATTATTATTATTATTATTATTATTATTATGATGGATGTGTGCAACTGGTGGACCAATCACCGCTGTTGTCACTAGTTGTTTAACTGTTAAAAGTTTCATTGATCCCTGGTGCTGGTAAATTATTGTCCTAAATGTTATGCAGCCATCTGCCACCAGATGGCGCTTCATGAATCCTTTCATGTTAGCTTTTGTGAACTCTATTAGAATGAGACCACAAATCCCAGCAGCAGAAATGAGCTTTCTCCAGGAGGTGGACGGGCTGTGAGTGGAGCTGCTACTCTTGCACATCAACAGCAGCCAGCTAGGGCTGTCGCCTCCTGGGTCACGTGTTCCCACTGGGCATGTCCTACTGGGAGGAGGCTCGGCGTAGGCCTGGGCACGCTGGCCTGGAACACCTCGATGTTTCCTCGGATAAGCTGGAGGAAGTGGAGGGAGGAAGGTCTGGGCTTTCCCACTTCAGAAGAAGCAGAAGAAGAAAAAAAATGTCGGGACGATTTATGATTTTGATAAATGCCGAACAGCGTGGACCACTCAATGCACTGTTCTCCCTCAGCTGTAACTTAAAATCTGAGTGTTTTAGTTTCAGACTAGTTGGTTAGTCTGATTGTTTTTTCCTCGTTTCGCAAATAAGAATCGAGTTGCCAGGTTTTATAATTCAGTTTAAATTCCATCAAGTCTTTAAAGGAACCTGATCTAATAAACCAGACTGTGGGGTTTAAATCTGACTGCTGTTAAACGCCTTTAAAATCTATTTAAACCTCCTCTGAACGTGACATGGGCATCCACCCGTCTGCTGACCTGCTGTGGAGGAACCAGATGGGTGCAGCAGTTACTGGTTGTGCCGATGTAGCGTACTGGGACGTGCGTGGCTCGCCGTCCGACCCAGAGAGCCCGCTCTGCTCCGACCCTGTGGGCGTCAGCATTGTCCTGCTGAAACAGCTGCAGGGTGGGGCGCTGAATGCAACGTGAACAGGGCGGAGACCCTCCGTCAGACTTCCACAGAGAACAATCAGATCAGAGATGGTGCTCCAGCTCTGAGATCATTTACTGGACCTGAAAACTTCTCGTCCTTCAGTTTCAGACTGAACTCATCGTTAAAGCATCGAGTTAACGATCAGAAGCAGGAGGCGGTGCTTTCAGCTGCTCCCTGAACTCGCAGCGGTCGCCACAGCGGATGAATGGCACAGCTTTTCCACCGGATGCCCTTCCTGACGTAACCCTCGCATTTACTATGTGACCCCCTGAGGCCGGCCTGTAAATCCCCTCGGGCAGGCGGGTTTGGGTGGACCCAGACGGAGATTGATATTTCAAACTGAGGCGTGACGGTTGGGAACAGCTAATTTACGACATCCGTGCTCTGCCGTTTCACAGCTGGGGGGGTTCGGTTACCTTGCCGGTGTCCTCGGGTCCGGGCTGTAGAGTGACTGAACAGGGGAGATTCTGAGGAATCTGGAAAACAAGAAGAAGAACGAGAACGTCAGAATCACAGTTTGTTCATTCGTTGTTTCCACACCACAAACTCGGAGCCCGTTTTTATGAAGCTTCCCACAGAGCGCCGACCTTTAAACTCCCAGCAGCCCTGGCTCAGCTCGACTCTCGTAAAGAATCCGAGGCTCCCATAGAGCTGAGATATTTTCTCAGACGTGCTTTATCGAGTAAAATAATCTGTGCACATTAAGAGTAAACGCCAGAGAGCTGAAGGACGTCCTCCCTCATAAATGCCCTGCTGAGGAGGTGTGATGAATTTAACCCCTTTCAACCAAAAAGTTCCAGGAAGGTAAAAAAGTGCAATTAAATTTCCACCGTATGTGAAGGAGGAGGAAGCCAGAACAAATGAGTGTAATGAGCGACTTCCTGAGTTCCTCAAAGGGTTCTTGATCTTACAGGGAACTGCGCTCCGATGGAAACGCCCTTCAGTGTGTCACTTCTAGTCTAACAGGAAGTCAAAGTCTTCCTCATTTGCATCTCCTTGTTTATTTCAGGAAGCTGGCGATCAGCAAACATCACGAGACACGTCTGACGCTCGTCCTGATATTGACGCCGGGCTGAAGCAGCCCGAGGAAAGAGCCGACAGACGAGGTCAGCGGGCTATAAATGATCTGCTTTTTCAGGCCACAGCAGACGGCGTTCAGACACTAATGGATGCTGGGTAAACACAGGCTAATGAACTGATGACAAAGATCAATGTGCTCATCTTTAAATGTTTACATCGAGGCCCTGAGCTCCCACCTGGTTAAACAGCTCCGTTCTTCTTCTTACATATTTTATACATCTTGCACACGTGCGGTGCAGAAAGGTTCGATAGTGCGCCGTGCAGCTGCAGTTCCTCTAATCACCAGCAGGGGCTCCAGCAGTGAGTCAGTGCCCACAGACTCACATGGAGCGTATTTCACTTCAAACACCATATAAAGACGTGGCGTCTTCACCACGAGCTCCACCCACGGAGCCCTGAGGAGGAGCAGTGACTCACGGTGAAGTAGAAGGGGTGTGCGTGCTGGCCGAGCTTCTTCAGCAGCCTCTCCTGCAGCCGGCTGTTGGGTTTCCGCTCCTCGGGCACCGGAGGGAAGGCCTGACGCCGAGAGAGAGACGACAGTGAGAATGTCCGACCTTTAAAAGTACTCAACTTTCTGCTCAGGCGCAGGCTGATGAAGCTCACCTGGAAGGTGGAGATGTACAGATCCTTCCGGAAGGATAGACCGAGCACGTCCAGGTCCTCGCGTCCATATCGAAACGCACAGGTCAGCGTGACGAAGACTGTGGGGAGGAAGAAGAGGCTGTTTGCAGTTTAAATGAGTCATTCATTAAAATCAGGTTTAATTCAACAATAAAACATTAAAACTGTTAAAAATCATCGACACAGCAAAACAGCGTCGTTACAGAAGAGGTGAAGTGGACCTTTGCTGCTCTGCATGAGCCACACTTCAAATAACCTTACAGCTCATGCCGAACATGACAGAGATGAAGCTCCTCCCCCTTTTCCCATTGGCTGCCCTTTGCAGCTGAACAACAGGACTTCTGACATCTCACTGTGACATCACGCAGGTCCACGAGTGTAAGAGACTGTGATAAACTGGTTGTTTAGAGCTCACAGTGATTATCTGCACAGCACAAACTGCCAGCAGTGGAAGAGCAGATACGACAGGAAAGCAGACGCAGGATAAGAGCTGAGCTGCGTTCTGGGTTTTGTTGGGTGATGTTTGTGTAGCAACATTAAAAACAACGTTCAGGCAAACAGTAATTTATCTGTTTTTCCAACTACTGACACAGTCAGAGGTCCAGAAACTGCTTATTATGTAAACAAAGGTCATTCTGCCTGTTTTGTATTCAACGTTTCTGAAACAGTTGTTTAACAGTAAACAGACAAAAATGAGACGTTTGCGTCCTTAATAAATGAACGTGCTGAGAAATAAACAGGAAGTTGTTAATCAAAGGCTTCAGCTCTGCACAGAAAGGTCAGCAGGAAGTTGATGAAACAACACGAGCGCAAGGCTTTTACTCTCGTTTATTTACACACGGCAACAAGTCGCTGCACAGTCGGCTTCAGCACACTCTGCCACATGATTGGCTGATGAGACATTTGCTTAACGTTTAGATCTTGCAGTGAAGTCTCAGTGTGTTCCTGTACATGTGTGCAGGTGTTCTCGCCTACCTTTCCTGTCCTTCAGGTACTCTGGGTCGACCAGGATCACGCCATCTGTTGGCAGGAAGGAAGACAAACAGTCACGAAGGTCACCGGTTTACCTGATCAGGATCTCTGACTGCTGTAAATACAGGACTGCACCACAGCAGCTGTGCTCCCTAAAAACTCCAAAACAAACACAAACGAGTCCAGACTCACCGACTGGGTCCACGTGGTCCAGGTGGTCCACAAAGTCTCGCTTTCCCAAGTAAACCGTCAACTGCACAGACCAATCACAGGATTAGTTTATTTAATCCAGATGTGTGATCACAACAGCTCAGTGAAAACTGGATAAATCCTACTGGAATAACTTTGACCTCTTCTCTCCCTGATCCCCACACAAAGATCACCAGCTCTGTGCACACGTTTGCAGACGATGTGCTGTTAATAACTTATTTATAAACTGCTGCTCTCTGTATTGTTTCCCAAGTACAACAATGGAAGGTTTTTGGTTTGGAGTACAAAGGCGGTCACTGGCTACAGCATCCAACCTTCCAGAGAGCTGCTGCAGGACGTTGTAAAAACACCTGACACAGGTGGAGACCAGTGTCAGGTTAACTTCCAGGTTATTTCTCGGCCAACCTGGAAGTTAGCGACCCCTAAGCCAGAAGTCCGGGAGAAGGGACGCTCTCTAATCGAAGTCCTAAAAGAACAGAATCTGCTAACAGCATGCAGCGTGTGAGCTCATGTTGAACTTCCCCATCGACAGGAAGTTTAAAAAAGAAAAATGTAACTATATCAAAGGAGTAAAGCAGGATCTGCCCGAGTGTTTAACCACACTGAACCACAAGCTTCTGACAGGGAGTGAATTTAGAGGCAACAGTAAAGGAACGACTGCATAACACTGAATATTAATCTTTATCTCGACTCTCTTCTTAACAAATATTTAAATTAAAACTGGATGAACTGGTCACACTGGTGACGTCCCAGTTTACTACCTGACTTCACTGTGGAGCTGCTCTGCCTGCTTCATCTTTGTCACATAATGAGTGCTTTGCGTCGCTCCCTTTGGCAGCTCGTTTTTCTGCCCTTACGTCTGTATGTTTGCTTTTAATCGCCCTGATTCTATGATTGTGTTTTTACTCTGTGTTTGAGTGAAATGCTGCGATCTGAAGGGTCAGTATGAACAAAGCTTCATGTTTTAGGTGGCAGAGGGAGAAGAGTGCTTTCTACTGCTTCCTCACAGTGTCAGATGTTGCAGAACAAACTCGTGGACTCACCTTACAGTTGGGGCTCGACTTCTTGAAAACTCTGAGAGGTTTGGGAAGAGGAGACAGAGAGGAGGAAAGAAAGAGAAGGTTAGCTCGTTTTTTCTGGCTGAACCCTGTTGCTAAACGAAGAGCGCTGCGGTCGATTCAAACAGGTTTTCAGACCCGCTGCAGCTCATCGAGAGCGTGTGGGTGAGACAATTCTGTGAAAAATAACCCGAGGAAGTGTGGCAGCTTCCTGCTGTGTCGAAATAAACAGTGGCCTTGTTTGAAACCGATGGTTGGGGTGGGGGTGGGGGGGAAGTGGTTTTGATGAAAAACAGTGTACATGACCTAGGGTTATTATGGGATGTCACCGCACTGCTTTAAGAGGGAAACAGGTGGATGTTAACCAACACGATCACTTAAACTACTCGAGTCCAAGTCTGCGTGATGCCACTGAAACTTTTACAAACCTTTGAACCACCAGAAAGACGCCGCAGGATCTCAACAATCATTACAAGAACAGCTGAACACACCGACACCAGGACTGAGTCTAGACCTGAGCTGCAGCTGAAAGAGTGAGGCTTTAGCGTGGCTGCAGTTTCACTGCCAAAACACAAGGTGGCAGCGGACTGCCCATTTCCCAACTGATATAAAAAAGTGGTGGAAGAGAGAAGAGAAGCATCGAAGAAAAACTCATCTCCTAAAACCGGTCCCAGGCGCAGCTTGGACCCACGATCTTGATGGCAATAAACCAAAGTAAACTTCGGCCCCTCTTCGATCAGCGCCGCCTCGGATCACTTGCAGTCCAGCACTACTGGGTGTGTCTGGTTGTCGTCACAGCTTTGCCGGGTTTCAAAGATGGTGGTTTTGATTTTGGTGAGCCTGATGCTCACTGAGTGATGCTACTTACCAGGCATGCAGTCTGATGACATCACATTTTACCACCTGCTCAGATCGCTAAAAAAGTAGCTGGTACTATGACCTAATGGAAAACCCTGAAAGGTGAACCGCGGCTCTTTTGACAATAACCTGCAGAGAGAGCACAGATGGACTAAACCTTCAGTTTGTGACCGCGGTCTTCGTTCTGCTCTGCAAACACAAACCGCAGCAGACCAAAGTTTAACCTCGGACAATGACGGAAGTGCCAAAAGCATCCTGCTCACAGTGATGAAGCTCCACCCACTCTGGTGTCCTGCCACAGTGCAAACCAGAAATGCCACATCCCGTGTGTTACGCTGCTTTTCACGCTGCTGAATTTTATCAGTCAGCTGGAAAAGGACGCCGCTGCAGTTCCTTTAATGTCCACTTGAGGCTTCAGAACTCAGTCAGACCCCACAAGGTCTTAAAATCTCTAACTTTTCATTTTCTCCATCATAACAACTGCAGCTAAATGTTTTTAGAACTCATCAATTTGAACTGCATCCAGTTTGGAAATTAGGGGCGTGGCCTCTGTGGCTGACAGCAGATGGCCGTTTGGAGTCTTTTCAGTCTAGTGATGTGATGAAAAACCACCACAGGTGCCAACACACCGTGAAAAGCTGAACTCATTTTAAGGCCTGAAAACCAAACATGCCCACAGTTCAGCAGCTGTGTGAGGAAGCACCGAGGCTCTCAGCATCTGTATGAAGCGGTCACTTCCTCCAGGCCCTCGCCGCCTCAGACATCATCCTCTGCCAGGACGAGGCGCTGCTGTCCTGCTTCACAGCAGCTCCTGCTTCCTGTCACAGCCGCTGATGCTTTCCACACTCGGGTTAAATTTAGATCACTTCAAAGCATGAATTAAAACTGATTTACAGGTTTCTGCGGCTCCGATTTTTGGCGCTCGAGGCTTATTTACGACTGTGGTGTTTTTTAATCTGCAGCTTTGAATCCAGAAAGAACAAAAACACGTCGTAATGAGCTGCAGATATGAACCGCACGCACAGCTCCACGCCTCTTCAGGCCACGCCGTCCCAGATCTGCTTCCCAATTAGGGCCGATAACAGCAATCATTTTCTTTATTGATTACCCTCAAACACCACAGCAGAGGATGGTCACAGCTTCTCGAAGCCAGAGGCGACTGATGTCAGACTAATAATCCAGAAACTGTTTTATTTAACAGAGTTGAAGAAAGCGTTTAAAATGTTACCATATATGAATAAATTAGAGTCACTGTGGTCATTTTGCTCATTCATGCACAGAAAGTTATCCCAGGTCAGAGACATCAGCTGTTTCTGCTTTTATTTTCACTTACTGACATTTTACAAGAGCGAGATTCACTAATTGAGACTGTTTACTAATCGTAGCCTAAACCTGGTGCATTTCTTTCTCCTGGTATTTACACAAACCTGCTGAAAATGAAGCTCGACTGCTCAGAACAAAACGCTCCAAGTGACTTTTTAGGCCAGAATCAACTAATTATTCTACACTTCAAACAGGAAACAGGTGGAACTAGGGCTGGGCGATATATCGAGTTTTTTAAAAATATCGATATATTTTCATACGAGATATAAGATGTGACAATATCGTTTATATCGATATAGTCTATGTTACGTTATAATTATACTTGTGGAGCCGCAGGTTTGCCTCTCTTTCGTCCACTTTTGTCTCTACGCAACGTTACTCGGCCTCGCCTCTCCTTCACTGAACACAACTCCGCCTCCCCCATAGCTTCACCTGCAGGCAATGACAAGATGAAAGCGGAAAATCTCCGTTAGCGAGTTACCGTGCGTGGGGCTGGACGGCGTCAACGTGTTAGCGAGCTAACCGCGCTAACGAGCTAACCGCGCTAACGACATGCAGCCAGGAGGGGCTGCACGGCCTAAAATCCTTTCATTTTCTCAAAAATCGACAGTGCGCCTTATGTATGAATTCTGGTTGTGCTTACTGACCGCGAACCGATTTTATGTGGTACACAGCGCTCGGCAATCTGTCAAAAAATGTTTTAATATGACTTTGCTAAGCTACGGAGCTGCACCGCTTGATGGATTGTCGGAGGATTACGGCTACCGAGGAGGAGCCTCGCGGAGTGATACGTACTGTGTGTGTAAGGACCACAAATGGCACCTGTTCAGAGACGTGGTGCAGCTGTGAAATCTGTCTTTGTTATTATGCTCAGCGTCTATTAGTTTACATTTTGACTGCACAATTGTGAGCTTTTTGTTATGCACAAAAACAACATTGTTTTCTTTTATTTATGGACCATGATTATTTAATAAATGCTGATAATTTATTTTTGAGTAATTTCTTCATGTACATCTACGCTGTATGTAAATAAAAGTGCCCGTGTGACATCTGGGACACAGTGTGACTAAGAACTCTCTTTTTGTTCTTAACTTATGGCTTTAAAAAAAAAAAATCGAGATATATATCTTATATCGCCATCCAGCTAAAAAATATCGAGATATGAATTTTGGGTCATATCGCCCAGCCCTAGGTGGAACCAAGGCAAGCAACACGGCGCCGCGGTGCAGCGGCTCACACGTCCACCTGTGTCGGCAGCTCTGCACATCCAGCCCAAAGAAATCTCATTTCATTTTCAGGAACGATGACTCGACGAGACGCAAACGCTGCAAAGGAGGAAGGGGGCAGACATGGCAGGGTGTGAGGACTATAATGGGCCTGCGTCCGGTCACGCGTTTCCTGCTCCCGTTGGTCAATGTTGGTGGCCACAGTCCCCAATAATGAGGTCAGTGTGTAGAAGTGGTCCCAGGAAAGCACAACAAAAAAAAGACTAAAGTGTGTGTTTGTTGCTGCTGCACACACGACTGTTTAAAGACACGGATGGTGTTTGGACTGCTGACGAGTCTAAATTGTCACTTCTGCCCATATTCGTCTGCTGCTTCTTACTAATAAAGTTATTTGGTTCAGTGAGGCTTCAGATATGAAATAAATGAATACATTTTGTTTCCTTTCAGGAGCATTTTTGTGACTTCACCGTCAGAAAACAAACTAAAAGCAGGAGGAACAAGCTGGAGCTAAGTGGGTCACCCTCCATCCCAATTATCTGAGAGCACGTTTTCCAAACTTTGTGCCAATACCAGTTATCAGCACCTTGCAGAGAGGCCCACAGGGCTGCCAGATCACACCACAATGATGGCAGCAGCCTGCCAGCGCCTCTCAAACCATTACAAATCACAGCAGCACGGCTGGAGCTCATCGACTTATTTTAGCTGCTGCTAATTTCAGCTCGCTGCCTTTACCTTTAATTCCACCTTAAACTCTGAGTTTGTGTGTCAGCTGAACCACACAGTGGACCTCTGGGACCACGGCTCCTGTTAGCGTCATGGCCGCTCATTGCTCGCCCATCAGCCGGTTACTGCGGGCTGCTGTAAGAATTGGATAACTTGTAAGACCCTGCATCATTCTTTCTTCTAATTGGTCAGCTTCTGGAAGCCTGCTGAGGAGCAGACGGTGGGCTTGTGGTTTGAGTGTGTTATGGACCAGTATTTTAACTCTGAGCTCTGCAGGCAGAGAAACTAGGAGGAGAAACTCGCTCGAGTCCTCGCAGGATGAAGTCGTAAACGTCCCTCTGCGCTGCTAACCTTAACGAACAGCAGGCCTGTTTTGTCCTCGACTCCAACGTTAAATCTGAGGTGATGAAAGGCCCTGCTGCGCAGATATAAACACGCCTCGTCCTGAAATGCTTCCTGGACTGACGAAGTTACAGCGACAGTGTTTGTGTCCAGGCTGAGCAGAAACACTCGTCCATCATGGAGTCCGGCTGTAGTGCTTCAGCTGAGCGTCGCTGCAGCTCCTGCGATTCATTCAGCGATCGCTGCATTTTTATTCTGTGGTCTTTATAATTTAGGTACCTTCATATTATTGTTATTATTTTTGCAGTCAGTGGGTAGAAATGGTTACATTCTGGAGGACATGTTGGTTTCATGTTAAACTGCTGGTTCTTATTGTGGCTGAACGAGGTAAAGAGAACCTCTGTGGCTCGTTTCCACATTTTTATTCTGGGACTGCACCAGAGCAGTTTTACATGAGTCACAGTTCAGAAATAATCCTTCCTCTTTACTCTGAGCCTGCTGCAGTCCCTTTAGTTCACCCTCCAACAAGCTTTCATCTGACTGG